AATAAAGAATAAAAATAAAAAAATACAACTTTTTTTGTCTTTAGTAAAACACCTGACTTCTTTAGCTATCATCTTGTTGTTATTTCTGTTACACGTAAATAAGTTTCACTAACTTTTGCTTTACTTTTTCTCTTCTGCCGTTTTTAAAGCCTTTTTCTTTTTTTTTTTAGCTTACGGGTTGCCTGCAAAAAAGTTCTATAGACTAAAATTTGGTAGGTGGAAAAAATAACTGAGCAATTTTTACCAACTATTTTGTTATCTTCTTGCTTTTTGATGTAAACAAAAATTAATGCCAAGTATGCCTACAGAAAAAAATACAATATATTTCAAACTGAATTATTAAACAATTTATTGACTGGTTATCAAAGCGAAATTAAACTTTTTTTTTAACTTCAAACTTAACATTTTGAATAAAAATAATTTTCTAAGTTAAAAAATGGTTTGATCTCCAGTTTATCTATTAAATTGTCTGGTCTATTTGTCTATCTATCGCTTGTCAAGCCAAGTAAAACTTAGCTGTGACAGATGGATTTTATAACAAGTAACGGCTACTATAACATCGGTAGCAGTAGTAGCAGTAAAAATAGCAAAAAAAGAGAGAAATTATTACACCTGCAGTAAGCCATACTAAGTGGAGTGCAGTTTAGCAAAGGGCTCGTGTTAACCAGTCTAATGTTGCCTTCTAATCAGCCAGCTACCCCACTATTTGATCATATTTATTCACATTCTGCTTTATTCATTTTTTAGAATTTCTAATCTACAGAAATCGATATTGAAGACTTTATTAAACTAGGAGTTATTTATGCAGCTTTACTTTATTTCTCATTTTAACCGATCAAACCTTTTTTTTTTCTTTTTGTGGAGTGCGTTTATTTATCTAATAAGAGTGGACGACTTGAAAAAATGTTGCCACTAATTTTTTTTTTTGACTTTTCAGTATATATTACTAAACCAGTACTCTGTATTGCATATAAGACGCCGATTCTTATTAAGCGTTTTGAAGAGCCAAACAGATTTTCGTTGAGCTGTTGTAAAGATAATACGAGAAATTTTCAAATACACATTTCAGGAATCTGTGTGAAAATGCATTTTTTGAAGCAATTATTTTTGACTTACTTTTTTTTAAAAACATTGTCGCTGTTGTTGTTGCTATAGTCAGGTTTTTGCACTTTCGTATACTTTTAACTTCACTTTCTTAATGGTAAATCAAACGTAAACGGATTTGTTGTGATGCCAAGAAAATTGTTTGATTAATTTATTAGCGTCTTTTTCTGTCAAACTCTACTTTTAAATAGATTTTTTGTTTGATGAATAATCAACGTCTCTTCACATGTTTGAATTTAGTCAGCTGAACTTACTACCAAAATTGTTATCGTTACTACTAACACTTACAATAAGTTATGAAAGTGAAAGGTATTTCATTAGTACCACTTTCTGCGCAAACTATCAGTTAGATTCATTCGACTCAGTCTTGTCTGCCCTATTTAACTGATTTTGTTCTTGCCTGTCAACAGTCGATCGACTCTTGGCTACAAAAAACTTTTTTGTTTATTTTCATTCGACTTATTTTCGCTGCCAAAAAAAATCTGTTGCTTATTAGGTGAATTTCAACCGTAAAAAGAGTACAAGAAGATATACACTATAAGTTGTCAAAGCACTTTTTATTACTTTTCTTTTTACTGTATTTTATTATTTTAATTAATCACTGATACATTTACTTAACTGTTGCTGCCACTCTGTTTGGTCTAAGAAGATGGCAACTTGGGATGACAAAAATAAAAAAAGAAAGACTGGGGAAAGATAGATTGAATATTTTTATTTATACATCTAATGAGATTCAACAGAAAGAAAATAATTAGTGTTGGTTTGTAGATGTACGGATCAAACAGAAGAAAAGCAAATGAGTGTAACCTGTTAATTTCAAATATTCTCACCCTGTTTTTTTTTTTTTTTTCGTCTTATTTTTCTTTTTTTTTTCTTAATTTTTTTTGTCGGTTCCAGAGACTATGGTTTTTTCAAAAAAATACTTCAGTGTCTTATTTGTTTTTATTTTTATATTGTTTTTTCTCTTTTTTGCCAACTTGAAACAGTTTCAAAACAACAACAAAAAAATACTATCAGAAAAAAGTTTGCAAACTCATTGCTACTATTACGAAATGTTATTTTATTTTTTGCTTTATAAATTGAAAAGGAAAAACACCTTTCAATCGTCACCATTATTGACGTTACTTTGTTTTGATCAGTTAATAATTGTTTCAAAAGCTGCTCAAATGTGTCTTATATGGCAGAAAGAAAATGAAAGAGAAAAAAACAGAAGGAGTAAAGAGGGGAAGAAGTAAAAATACTAAAAATAATATAAAGTTTAACATTCTTCAACTAATTATATGCCTTCTCAAATCTTGGGCTTATTTAGCGCCAGTTTTTTCTTCGATTTTTACATCGGTTTTGAATAAGCTCAATAATTTTTCCTCTGTAATTCCTTCACTCTTTCTCCGCTGTTGTTCCGCTTTTTTTAACTTTTTCTTTTTTTTTTTTTTGGTCTAATTTTTCATTCGCATCTTGAATAAACCTTAGCTGTGATAATATTTATCGCGTTTAAATAAAAAAAAGTAGAAGTGTAGAAATTAAGGAATGCAGTTAAATAGTAAATTTTCTGTAATTATAGCAGCGATAAGCGGACAAAAAAATCAAGAAAATGTGATACTTCTGTTTTTGTTTCTTTTATCTTTTCATATCTCTTTTTTTCAGTTATAGAAAGGTGTAAATGTGAATCAACAAGACTAATGGAAAATGAGGTTTGTTGTTTGACCTCTGTATTTCTTTTTTTTTCTGGTTTGTTTTAATCTGCAATACAGTTATGCATAAATTAACGGATTGGATAGACATTAAAAACCAAAAGAGAAAGCTTAAGTTTAAATAACGAAAGCGTAGTGAAAAAAAAAAAAAAAAACAGAACACAAACGAGGAAAAAGGAACAAAAAAGTGTTCTGTTAATATTCAATAAACGCTTTATCTGCAAATTCAATCTACAGGTGAACAAAATAATAAAGTTAAATTTGTCAATCAGATAATTTTACCGTTATAAGTGGTTCTTTTTTTTTTTATTTTTTTTTACTTCTTGCAAGTATTAGTTATGCTAAGTTTTCTAGTATTTTTACTTTCACATCTCTCCTGTTTTATAGCTATTCAATAAGTGATTTTCTTGATCTGATTTCATAGCAAAAAATTTTTTACTTTTTTTTGCGGTAGTTATAACCAAACAAAACAATCAGCAGTGGTTCAATTTCTCGACAAGAGCTTTTCTGTTTTGGCGACACTATTTGAAACTGTAAGATAAAAGAGGATTGAGCAGAGGATAGAATATTCTCCCCAGAAAAAGCCGAATAACCACTAAACGTCATGCCTTATCAACGTATAACTCTACGATCTGGAATTATTCATAATTGATTGTAGCTAAGCGTTGTTTTACATAGCCATCAGTTTAAGATCTAGCAAAAATGAAACAAACAGCTGAAAAAGCAAATAGCCCGGAGAAAGCAGGAAGAAAAAAATTGCCCAATCTTTTGATTACAGGTGACTATCTGTATGATCGATGTTAATGAACGGCGAACGAGTTTCGCTAAAAGACTTGCCGCTACAGGAAGGTGAACCATGCTTGAATCACGAATATCAGTCTACTCAAGGTTGCTTGTTCTTTCACATTTTAAATCTTTCTCAATTTGTTTATACTGTTGCTTGTTTGCCTGTAATGTTGTTCCTCTCGTATAAGAAATTAACGCTTGCAAAAATAACAACAACATTCTACTGAAATACCTTTTGGGAGAGGGGAGCGAAGATAAGCTGTTTAAGTGTTTCATCGCTGACAGTTGTTGCTTTTCAGCGCTAATTTGCATGTTTGGCTATTTTTCTTTTTGAAATGACGCATGGCGTAAGTTGAAAAGTGTGGTATGTATGTCTTTTTGGGTCGTTGTTACAGTTGCTGCTGCCGCCATTACTGGTAGACAATTAACTGATTCTGCAACAACAAAAACACAAAAAAATGTAATCTACCACAGTTTATGAAATATTCTGGTCAAAAACTGCTTTCTAATTAGTGGGTATAAAAAATAATAAACTCTTGGTCATTTATTATGTATCAAGGTTTGTTTTAGATCTTGTTATTTTCTGTTAGCCATCGTTCCTTTCGGTGCATCTTACGTCACTACTGTTTTTACAGCGGCTGTCATCAGCAAATTGAAAACACACGACTCGAAGATTTACAATATAGAGTTTTTAATGAGCATTTTTTTTATTTTTTGTTACTCATTTTCCACGCCTTTTTGCTCTCTAGAGCAGATTCAAAAAAGGGTCTAGTCAGGTTAAAGAAATAAACTTAAAAAGAATAAGACAAAAAAAAGTGCATTTTTGTTTCTTTTCAAGAAGTATACGAAAAATTGAAATTGTTAGTCGCATTTTTTTTTGTTTACTTGTTTGCTTGATGCACAAAAATTTCTGTTTGAAAAGATAAACAAAATGGGCAAAAATTTTTAAATTTGCTCAAGCTTATTTCTTACTTGACAACTTTTTTTTTTTTGTTAGTATTCTGTTTGTGTTTGGCAAGTTTTGTTAGACATTATTTCGGAAAAAGGTGCATAGCAGTCGTGTATCTTGAACTGAATGAAAAAAAAAAAAAAAAAAA